ATGGAATACTATGCAGTCATAAAGAAGGATGAGTTCATGTCCTTTGTAGGGACATGGATGAAGCTGGAAACCATCATTCTCAGCAAACTATCACAAGGACAGAAAACCAAACACCGCATATTCTCACTCATAGGTGGGAATTGAACAATAAGAACACTTGGACACAGGGCGGGCAACATCACACACCAGGGCCTGTGGTGGGGTCGGAGGGAGGGGTAGGGATAGAATTAGGAGATACACTTAATGTAAATGACAAGTAAACAAGTTAACAGGTGCAGCACACCAACATGACACATGTATACATATGTAACAAACCTGCACATTGAGCACATGTACCCTAGAACTTAAAGTATAATAATAATTTTTTAAAAAGTGAGTTCACGCTTATTCAGAGAGTACAGGCTTTTGAGACAAACTTTCTGGGTTCGAATCATGGATCTATTACTTTCTGTATCATTTTGGCCAAGTGACAGTCTCTCTTTGCCTCGGTTTCCTATTGAGTAAAATGAAGGTCATAAATGCATACCTCATGGTGTTCTCATGACAACTAAAAGATGTGACATACTGGATGTTGTTTATAAAAGTGGCTGGTACATCAGGAGCAGTAAATAAGTGAAAGCTATCATTAATTATAATGGTAAAACCTACCTTTCTGCAAAACAAAAATGTCTGAACTTCTGCTAAACTCCTTGCTACCCAAGAAATCATTCCCAAAGAATCTATGATTCCTTGATATTATGGAGAAAAACCTCAGGGCTTTTTGCAGATGTTTTCCCATAGAACCGTATTAGAAAAGATTCAACTATCTTTGGGGGTGTGAAGTTTTTTTGTGAATTGCCACAGAAATGCTCTGTCATGGGGCAATTTATCCTATATTTTAAAGTGCAAAAAGGTGATATATGAAGCATAGTCAAAATATATTTCCTCTGCAAATAAAATATAATGCTGGTACAGATACACTGTTAGTTTTTGTAAGATAATTTAAAGTTTATTTTATTCAAATCAACAAATATTGTTAAGAATCTACCCAAATCTATCCGGGCATGGTGGCTCATGCCTGTAATCCCAGCACTTTGGGAGACTGAGGCAGGCGGATCACCTGAGGTCAGAAATTCGAGACCAGCCTGACCAACATGGTGAAACCCCGTCTCTACTAAAAATACAAAAATTAGCCATGCGTGGTGGCCAGCGTCTGTAGTGCCAGCTACATGGGAGGCTGAGGCAGGAGCATTGCTTGAAACTGGGAGGTGGAGGTTGCAGTGAGGCAAGATCATGCCACTGCACTCCAGCCTGGGCGACAGAGCGAGACTCCATCTCAAAAAAAAAAAAAAAAAAAAAGAATTTACCCAAATCTGAGCCCCATGCTATGATGAGTAAAGGCAAAAGAAGCTGCAACTGTGCTCTCATCCCATGAGATGATGCTGGAATGCTGGGATGATGAGACTGACACATGTGAATCAACTAGTCACTAAGAGGAAAAGCATAATTAAGTGCTAAATTGCATGTGCAGCTCATAAAAGAGTTGCAGGAATTCAGGTGAGGAAGATTAAGCAGCCATAGGGTACTTAGGAAAGAGGCACCCAGGAGAAGGGAGAATTTACCAGTTACTGTATGTATGACTTGTTAGTTAGCCTCTCAGTGTTACTGTTTCCTCTTTTATGAAATTTGACAATTTAATGCACGTAAAATGCCTAGCACATTCTAAAGTAAGACAGGTTTTTGGTAAGCCTTAGAGAAAGTGTAATATCTACCTAGAAAGAGAATTCTCAGATAGTAGGATAACCTGTGTCATGTAAAAGAAACAGATACCCTTTTTAAGCCTTTTAGATACAAAAAGGTAAACAAAAAATCCACAAGTAATAGTCCTACTATAATAAGTACAATATTCTGTGTTGAATAGCAACCACAGCTTTGCCTGTATGGCAGAATAACTCCCTGAGCACGTGAGCCTTGATGCATGTTGACATTCCTAGAGAGTTCCTCCTTCTAAGCAAAGATTCTTTCTTTAAAAAAAATAGGACATAAAGTATGCATATTTGCTTTTCCCTCTAAAATCGTTGCCCTTTACTGACCCTTCTCCTGAGCACTTGTCCAAAAGCAATCGTAACCTGAGCTGTCCATTACCTACAAGGAATAGTTTTAATCATAATCACTTCTCTAATGTGGTTTTAGAGAACATGAGATATAGTACTTCTAATTTTATCTCACATTCTCTGTATATTCAAATATTCCTTATCACAGCTTTACAAATGTTCTGACAAGAAGAGAAGGAAGAGTTCCTTTAAAGAGTCTCAATGCTATTTGGGGGAAATTACATTCAGCAGAGTCCTGATTATACTTACATGATCCTAATTAGAGTTTTCCTAGCATCATTGGTAAGAGTGTTAATTACACTAATTATATAACGGCTTCTTTGACAAAGTCATCTACATTCTAGGATTGGTCCAAGCCTGACACTCTTTTCTGCTTAAAAAACTAGAAGGCTTATTGGAATAATAAAAGTTTCCACTTTAGGCCGAATGAAATTATACCAGTTCAATATAGAAGATGATTTCACGGCAATTAGAAACAGGCTTTGTGAAAAGTTTCATTATTGCTTTTTATTTATACCAAAAGTAATTCCAGCCATGCATAACAGGCTCCATCACTTGTAGAGAAGAAAGCACTCTATATTTCTTTTGACAGAAAAGAAGTAAGGCCTGAAATGATTACCTTGACTTTTCCAGAAAGGAGAGAAGAATTGGAAATACAGTATTGGTAGTCCGAGGTTTTGATATGTAAACTCACCTAAATATACTGGTCTTTTCAGAGTTTGTTTGTCACACAGTGTGACCACAGAAACTTAAATTATTTGTAAAATAAAATTGTTTTCTCTGTGTTTTTCCTATCCTTTTAGAGCCTTTGAAGCATATATAGAAATTTATTCTCCTGAGTAAGAATCTATTACTATATACAATAGAGCAGCTCTCTGTTTTGCCAGTGGCAGATAGGAAGGAGAGCAGGTGACAACCCATATGCCCCTTACTTGTCTTCTGCAAGCAGCAAGTTGTAAGCAAGAGAAACTGTTTTCTGCTCATTTGCTCCTTTATTTAACATTTTAATAATCTATGGGATACTGTGCAAGGTAGTGTGCTAGGCACTCGATAAACAGAGGGAAACAAAACCATGATCTTGTCCTCTTGCAGTTTACGGTCTCCTCAGATATCATTTGTGGTATGTTTAGGCTTTAATTTTGTCTCTGTGTATTGCCTAGGTGTATATCTGGTCTTGATATTGAAAGACAGATTCAAGCTGTAATACATCACAGCTGTTGGGCAGAAACTCATGGGAAGCAATGAGCAAGGTAGAAGGGGCAAATTAGAAACAATTTGAGGCACCCATAGATGCAACCAAACCTTAATCCAAAGTGTATTCATTTAATATTGCTTCTGTAACAAATTATCACAAATTTAATAGCTTAAAATACACAAATTTATTATCTTATAGTGCTGGAGGTTAGAGGTAATAACCTCAAGGTGTTGGCATTCCTTTGGAGGCTCTAGGATAGAATCTATTTCCTTACCTTTCAAGCTTCTAGAGGCTGCCTTTATTCCGACGATCCTGGCTCCTTCCTCCATCTTCAAAGCCTGCAACATAGCGATTTCCCTTTCCTCCCTCCCCCTCCTATTCTCCACCATTCTTTCCCTCTCTCTGTGCTTTCGTCCTCTCATCTTCTCTGACCCTCCTGCCTCCTTCTTATAAGAAATGTAATTCCATAGGGCCCATCTGTATAATCCAGAATCATCTTCTCATCTCCAAACCTTTAACTTAATCATATCTGCAAAGTCCCTTTAGCCACATAACTAAGACTGGTACATCTCTGAGGGCCATCAGCTTACTACCACACGAAGCAAATTAAGTAGAAAATAAGGTTTGCCTCTTTTACGCCTTGAGTCAACCAGCTGCATGTTGCCCTTTGCAAGTTTGTTTTCTACTTCAAGGCCATCTTTGTTGTCCATTTTAACTAGCCTTTCCTCACAAACTGGTGGTATGTTGCTCCCCCTACTGATATTTCTCTGAGGCCTTGTAACTCTCTAAGATAGCACCAGTTTAACTCACAAGCCAAAAAACTGGAACACTTCAACCAGAGACATTAACATTCCCCTCTAATGAACTCTTAGCTGATTGCTAAAGACACATGCTTCATTAGAGCCAAACATTCCTATCTTACATAACTAAATATGATAACAAATTAAGTTCATGGGGCTGGAAATAGTTATTATTTTCTCTTTCTTGCAGTGAGGAGGCATGAAACAACATTTAGCAAACTGATCCTGGCTTAATTCCTACAGATATTATGCAGCACAAACTCTTATTTGATGCAGATCATACATAAAAAATTAGCAATGAATAATAAGCATCGCTTTAGTGGTAAGGAAGCTGAGTAGCTTTTTTTACCCCAGTAATCGTAGAGGCTAGACTTGACATTTTTATGTCACTTTTACTAAGAAGAGGGAAACATTAGTTACTCCACGTAACTAGGAGCAAAATACTTCTTTTCAAGATTAATAGCCTCAAAAAAGTGAAGACCAGAAAAACATTTGTTTTCAGACACTGGAGAGCAGGCACTGTTACGGCTGTGATTTTACAACCGCTCCTACATGCTGGGGGCAGTCTCCAGATGCATCTCAAGGTGGGTCGTCAGTGCTTTCAGACTCAGCACAATCTACATTTATTTACGTAGTTAAAATTACTGTTGCTATGGGTAAATTCACAGAAGTAAAGCCCAGAGAATCCGGTTGGCTGGCAGGGAGCGGCGGAACCAATCCCGGGCTCAGCAAGTTCTCGCGATACCGTGAGATCTGCATTCCTGACGACACCGCCGCGGAGATGTTAGTGAGACTGGCGGGTGGGCGGTGCGAGCGGCGGTTATCTCCGAGCTCGGCTTCTCTGAGGAAAACGGGCGTTCACCTGCGGTTGGTCCGACTGTTACCAACATGAGCGGCGTGGATGGGGTCGAGAGGACCCCTCCCCTCCAAACCCACAGCATCATTATTTCTGACCACCTCCCGAGCGACCCGGACGCACAGCAGTGCCTGAAGCTCCGCGACCAAAGCGAGGCGACACAGGTGATGGCGGAGCCGGGTGAGGGAGGCTCGGAGACCATCGCGCTCCCGCCTCCACAGCCTTCAGAGGAGGGGGGCGTCCCTCAGGATCCCGCGGGCCGTGGCAGTACTCCCCAGATCCGAGTTATTGGGGGTCGCGGTCATGTGGCGATCAAAGCCGGGCAGGAAGAGGGCCAGCCTCCCGCTGAGGGCCTGGCAGCCGCTTCTGTGGTGGTGGTGGCAGTGGACCGCAGCTTGAAAAAGGGCGTTCAGGGTGGAGAGAAGGCCCTAGAAATCTGTGGCGCCGAGAGATCCGCGTCTGAGCTGCCGGCGGGGGCGGGGGCCGAGAACGACACCGAGGAGGTGAAGACAGGAAAGTGCGCCACTGTCTCAGCAGCCGTGGCTGAGGGGGAGAGCGCTGAGGTGGTGGTGAAGGAAGGCCTGGCGGAGAAGGAGGTAGTGGAGGAGCAGATGGAGGTAGAGGAGCAGCTGCCGGAAGGTGAAGAAATAGAAGTGGCGGAGGAAGATAGAGTGGAGGAGGCGGCGAGGGAGGAGGACGGGCCCTGGCCTCTGCATGAGGCTCTCCGCATGGACCCTCTGGAGGCCATCCAGCTGGAACTGGACACTGTGAATGCTCAGGCCGACAGGGCCTTCCAACAGCTGGAGCACAAGTTTGGGCGGATGCGTCGACACTACCTGGAGCGGAGGAACTACATCATTCAGAATATCCCGGGCTTCTGGATGACGGCTTTTCGAAACCATCCCCAGTTGTCCTCCATGATTAGGGGCCAAGATGCAGAGATGTTAAGGTACATAACCAATTTAGAGGTGAAGGAACTCAGACACCCTAGAACCGGCTGCAAGTTCAAGTTCTTCTTTAGAAGAAACCCCTACTTCAGAAACAAGCTGATTGTCAAGGAATATGAGGTAAGATCCTCCGGCCGAGTGGTGTCTCTTTCTACTCCAATTATATGGCGCAGGGGGCATGAACCCCAGTCCTTCATTCGCAGAAACCAAGACCTCATCTGCAGCTTCTTCACCTGGTTTTCAGACCACAGCCTTCCAGAGTCCGACAAAATTGCTGAGATTATTAAAGAGGATCTGTGGCCAAATCCACTGCAATACTACCTGTTGCGTGAAGGAGTCCGTAGAGCCAGACGTCGCCCACTAAGGGAGCCAGTAGAGATCCCGAGGCCCTTTGGGTTCCAGTCTGGTTAACATTTGCCCTTGGGAATACTCCTGCACAAGGTCTCCTACCACCTTCTGCTGGACTTGTGCTTGGGCATCAGCAATGGGTATGTCTTCTACTGTGTTTTGTTTTTGCTGACTTTTCTGCACCCTCTTTCCTTTGGATATTCAGTTCTCTCAACCAACCTTGAGACGGTGGTGGGTATGCGTCTCCACTTCCATATGACCTTCATGCTGTTCTGGAATATCACATGCTACGAGGTCATCCTTCACGCTACTTGTAAGCCAACAAATGATACTGTAGATTGTACTGCCTTTATCTGCACTGCTTGGACGCTGTTTATTCCCAGGGCCTCTGAACTGGTTGCTATCACCTGGATTTCTACCTTTGGGAGCCTATTCCACCTACTCAGCTCTGCATCGTGAAGTAAGGGCACATGCCCTGTGGACAGTTACTGGACGTTAATGAACTCAAGAGAAAAGCAGTGAGCCGCTTGTTTTGTGTGATTTATGCTACTTTATTGCTCTTCCTTCACCTCTAGTCACTTTCTATTGCTACCTGCCCTGCATTGGCCCCTGCCAAGGTCCCTCTCTCCCTCTTTTCCTCTGCCTTTTTTTTTTTTTTTTTGAGACGGAGTCTTGCTCTGTCGCCCAGGTTGAAGTACAGTGGTGCGATCTCGGCTCACTGCAACCTCCACTTCCCGGGTTCAAGCGAGTCTCCTGCCTCAGCCTCCCGAGTAGCTGGGACTACGAGTGCGCACTGCCATGCTGGGCTAATTTTTGTATTTTTAGTAGAGATGGGGGTTTCACCATGCTGGCCACGCTGGTCTCGAACCCCTGACCTCGTGATCTGCCCGCCTCAGCCTCCCACTCCTCTCTCTTAAGTATTAGCTCAGAAATATTTGTAAAAGCAAGCTTTTAATTTCATTTTGGTTCTGTCATTTTCAGAGACAAACAAGTTGTCCTGTAAAATAGAGTGCTAAAGCTCTTATGCCCCCACCCCTTTCTTTCTTCCCAACTTCCTACTTCCTAGCCCTTTTATCAGCTCCTAGAATATTTAAAGGGAGACACGTCTACATGGGATGAAAGGTGAGATCTAGTTTATAATGGGTGGAGGAACTAAAGAGATTGTGATGGGTGCCCTAAGCAGGGGAAACTGAACAAAAGGCTAGAGGCATGGGCCAGGTAAAAATTGGGCCTAGAATGAAGACTGTGCTGACGTTAAGAGCCTTCGAGGTAGGAGTACTTACTCCTAAATGGTGATGAATGGAGAAATTCTTTTCAGGATTGCTAAAGGAGAATTGAAGGGGTTAAAGTGTTAAATATGTTGCCTAGACAAGGGTTCTTTAAAGAAACACAACGCAAGTTTGAATGCTTGCTTGCTTGTTTTGTGACCTGATTTATGTGGAAGATTGTTATTTCATTAGGATTTAGTAAAATCTTATTTTTTTTCTGTTTCTAAACTTATTGTGAAAATTGAGCTGTGCAGACATTCTTTTGATTTCAATTGGGAACATTTGGAAGAACAATAGTCTTTACTTTCCTGTACAATATAGAGACATATGAATATTCATAACAGTTTTCAACTTGTTCTTGTTTCTGTTAAACTATATTCCTAGAAACATAGTTTGAACAACTTGGTCTTTGTTAGGCGTGTCAAATTGCCTTCATGGAAAAATAATCTACAAAAGTGTGGTTTAATTTGATTGTCTTACATGATAATTTTCCCTGGTAACAACTTAGTAAGTGATGTGTCTTTTTTCCTAAATTGCTTAAATACTGTGAAATTGCTCTGACAAATTGGAAGTGTACCATTGGCATATTTGTCTTCCTTTTTATGCATGATGGTAAAATAAAAGCATGTTGTTCTGCTAGATTTCTTATTTTTCACCTTACCCATAAATGTTATGCTTGAATGAAATTGTTCATGTTAATTAAAAAGTATGGAATCATTAAAGTCCTATAATCCATTAAAGACCTTAATGGATTAAAATCATTAAAATCCTTAAATTCATGTTAATTAAAAATTATGGAATCATTAAAGTCCTTAAAGGGACGCAATAGACCTTATCCCAAAGAGAAGAAAACAGGGCATGGTACGTTTGGTATCTTCCAAGGTAGTTTGCTTTAAAATGTTAGCAGTTGCAACTGCTTAGTCACTTTTTTCCATATAGCTTATGCAGCACCACCTCCCCTTCAGTTGCTCAAATCCTCCATTTCTATCTCCATAAATTATATTCTCAGGTTATTCAGGCTCTTCTTTTTATTAACTTGTATGAAGGGAGTACCTATCATATGTGATGTATTCCTCATTTTCATACTTTCTCATCTGTGAAAACTTCCGTTTTTTTTCCTTCAGACTTCCTCACCACTCTCTTCTATCAGATCCTTCAAGGCCTGCCCTTGGTAATTCCTCTGCCTTTTAGTCTTTATATTCCCTGTAGAGGAGATAAATGTTTCTTTATGCACTTAGTGTACTTTGCAGGGACCTCTGTTCCAGAAAATAACACATAATTATTCATTACAGTGAATTCCACAAATAGAGAAAAACAGTAAGAAGATAAAGTCCATTTCCTTCATTGGGGAACTGGGGAAGGACTGATAAAGAATCGACAGAGTGATACAGTAAAATAAAATACAGAGATTATATTTTTATGTTTTTCACATGTTTACTCTTTTCCTCTCTTAGCAGTTTGGAAACTTTGTGAAAGTGGAGATGCAGTGTATTTTACATGGTTCGTTGCATCTAGCATAATGTTTTTTCTTTTTGAGATAGAGTCTCACTCTTGCCCAGGTTGGAGTGCAGTGGCAGGATCTGGGCTCACTGCAACTTCCGCCTCCCTAGTTAAAGCAGTTCTCCAGCTTCAGCCTCCTGAGTAGCTGGGACGACAGGCGCGTGCCACCATGCCTTGCTAATTTTTTGTATTTTTGGTAGAGATAGGGTTTCACCATGTTAGCCAGGATGGTCTCCATCTCCTGACCTCGTGATCCGCCCGCCTCAGGCTCCCAAAGTGCTGGGATTACAGGCGTGAGCCACCACGCCTGGCCCATCTAGTATAATGTTTTGCACACAGTTGTCAGCAGATAAATATTGAATGACAAAATAACTCAGATGGGGAAAAAGAACAAAATAACCTAGTGCTCAGAAAGACTTAGTGAGCAAATGGAAAAATGTCAAAAAGATATGCAAAGGCATTCCTAAATAACAATATTTCCCCTTTTAGTCATTAGAAAAGGTCCAAACACTTTTGACATTTAATCTTTCACTTGCATTTTAACAGAGCACTACTTAATTTCGGGTCGCCTTTTATACACTTGGTACATTTTAAGTTGATTATACTGGAGATAGAAGGGGATTAGACTCTAGATGTGTGTTGTCCAATACCGTACCTTTAGCCACCAGTGGCTATTGAGCACTTGAAATGTGATTAGTCTGAATTGAGATCTATAAATAGAAAATTCACACTGGAGTTTGAAGACAGTATGGAAAGAAAAATGTTAAAATATCTCAATTTTTTTCAGATTGATGGCATGTTGAAATATTTTTGACATTGTGTTAAAATATATTGAAAAATTATCCTCATTTTGCCATTGTTTAATGTGGCTACTAGTAAATCTAAAATTATATAGGACAGCATGACTCTTGACTTCCTGAGGAATAACTGAAAGCATATAAAATATCTAAAAATTAAACATGTTAATACTTTCTTCTCCTGAAACTTCTTGTGACTAAGATAAGGGTTATCTTGCTAAAATGCAAGGCCAGTGGGTAAAAAGAAGGTGAGTAAAATTTCTTTAATGAACTGTTCTTGAGTACTTCAGATGCATTGAATATTTTGCAAAATGTACTGTGCAACACTTTTTTGATATAGGTAGGGTAGATTTGGATGCCAAATCGACACAGTTATATTGGTTTAATTTTTAGTAACATTTAAGACTCATATATTCATATTTTCTAAAGTAAAATGCTCTTTTTTTTATTTTTTATTTTTTGAGACGGAGTTTTGCTCTTGTTGCCCAGGCTGGAGTGCAATGGCATGATCTCGGCAGAAGGCGACCTTCCAGCTCACTGCAACCTCCACCTCCTGGGTTCAAGGGATTATCCTGCCTCAGCCTCCCCAGGAACTGGGATTATAGGCATGCGCCACCATGCCCGGCTAATTTTGTGTTTTTAGTAGAGATGGGGTTTCTCCATGTTGGTCAGGCTGGTCTCAAACTCCCGACCTCAGGTGATGCGCCTGCCTTGGCCTCCCAAAGTGCTGGGATTACAGGTGTGAGCCACCGTACCCAACCAAATGCTCTATTTTTAGTTTACAAATGTACATGATGTTCAGAAAATATTTTCAGTTGTATTTTACCAGTTGGCTAGCAACAGAAAAGGAAAATATCTGAGTCTAGCTCTGCCTTAAGTCAGTTCAATTAATGCGTACTACTTGAAGAAGCATACTTTTTGAAAATTAGTGGTCTGTAATTGTAATCTTGCAGTAGTTGTTTATTGAATACTAGCATAAGTAAGGATTGAATGGGATAATAAAGGTTGTCTTTGCCCTTGAGGAACTCAGACTCATTGAGGGGGGTACCATTCCTTGAATGTTTCCTCTTTTTCTCTAGCAAATATACACATTCAAAACATCAACAAGCAAACTCAGAGAGGACCAGCCTGGCTGAGAGGAGTTGACCATCCCCCTCAGGACTGACTTCCTTTCCTTCAACATTATTATATAATTAAAATCCTAGACTATATAGAAGTGACAGGTATGCTCTCTCTGCATTTATTATTATGGGAGGTGTTTTACTTGGAAGCAGTACTTCCTCCATGTTAAGTGCTTTAAGCTCTGAAGGGCCATCTTAATCCATTCCCTCTGACCTCAGAGGTTGTCAAGACCTACAGAGGAGTTTCTATCAAGCCACATTAGGAAAAACGTGGATGTCTACTTTTTGGCTTCACTTTTTTTAGGATTTGTATTTAAGGTAATTTCTTTGAGAACAGGTAAAAGGAAACGGTTTAATTAAAAAGGAAAGGGTTATTCAGCTAAGCTACTAATTTTTGTGAATACCTACATGTCTTATATATGACCTGATGGGCAGAGAAGGCATACTAGCTGTAAATTAGGATTAAATCCCGGTTTTATAATTACCACGTATGGCGTTTGCCAAAATAAACTACTCTGAGTCTTGGTTTCCTTATCCATAATGTAGGGTTAATAAAACTTGCAGTATAAGCTAATGTTTTAGGATGCATTTGGAGACTGCATTATAAGGTTACAGAGAGGATAACAACAGAAACATCTGAGAGCTGACTTTGTGCCTGACACTGTGCTAAGAGATTTCAAGTATTAATATAATAAAGAGGTTAGACAAACAGCAAGCATCATGTCTAGCATATAATATGCAATCAATTAAAATTTCCATTTATCTTCCTCTCAGTTTTAATTTCTCATTTAATTTACTTTCAGACAAATAGTCATGTAGCTTCATGGTTATCAAACCTGGCTGATCATTTTATATATAGCTTTGAACTTTCAAAAAATACTGATGCCCAGACTGTACTCCAAACCAATTAAATTACAGCCTCAGGTGCAGCTGAGTTTGAGAATCATGGATTACCTTTTCTTGAACTCCTTAAGTTAGGGAATACATACTGCCTTCCTAGTTTTGTCAAATTGACTCAAATTTGCCAACTTATAAGCATCCAGCTATTGCAAAGAGCCTGGTATATCGTGGAGTTTCAGGATATCTATTTCATAGTTTTCCCCCTGTGGTCTTGCAGAATGGAATTAACCTGAATTCAGCAAAAGAGCTCTTTAAAACTCCTAACAGCAGGTGTCATCTTTGATATTCCCTTGTCAGAAAAGGAAATGATTTCTTAGTGATATGCTTGACTTCTGTTGATCACTATTTGCTCTTTTAAAGTGTCCAAAGATGTTTTAATAGATAATTGGTATTTGTTGTTTTCTTTATTAAAGTATAATCTACATGTAGCACAAGAATGGCCATAGCAGTTTTATTCATAACAGCCCCAAACTAGCAACAGCCCAAATGTTCACCAACAAGCAAGTGAATGG